AAGAGCGCGGGCGACTACGGCATTCTGCTCCAGATGCTGGCGAGCCCTCTAGAGCACGTGGAGGCGGAGATTCTGCGCAAGGCGACGAAGGGCCTGGGCACGACAGAGGAGTGGATCTACCCGGTGGTGATGGCTCGCTCGAATGTTGAGATCTCGCTTCTGAAGAAGACGTTCCAGGAGAAGTACGGCGAGGATTTGGTGAAGATCTTGAAGGGTGAGTTGGGTGGTGATCTGAGGAAGGTGATCATGGCCGCCTTGAAGGGAGACTTGCCAAGCTTCAACCCTGCTATCTACACGAGTGCGAAGGCTGCTGCGGACGCGGATGCGCTGTACAAGGCTGGTGAAGGAAAATGGGGCACGGACGAAGAAACTTTCATTGGGATCATCATCTCGAGCCCTGTTGAGCACCTGCGCAATATTGACGCCGCGTACTCGAAGAAGTACAAGAAGACGAACATCATCAAGGCCATTAAGGGCGAATTCAAGGGTGCCGCTCAGGCGGCACTTCTCTTCCATGTCCGGATGGTGTTCGAGCCGTTCGAACTCTTGGCGGATCTCTTTGAGAGCACGATGAAGGGCCTTGGGACGGACGAGTACGGACTCAGTGCGGCTGTGGTGCGCTACCACGCGATGCTGCCCCAGATCAAGTCTGCGTACAAGAAGATGTACGGGAAGGAGCTGAGCAAACGCATCCGTGGAGACACCAGTGGCGAATATCGCGACCTGCTACTGGCAATCGTGGACAGTCAGTAAAGTGTTGTGCAGCCTGTGACTTCCGACATGCATGCTTGTGTATATATGAATGCTAAAGCTTGAATACATTTGCGTTGAAAGTAGTTTGGGCGGGTATTACCAGTAGTTTGTATGTTCCTCGCAGTAGCACAAACCACGCGTTGGAACAATTCTCATATCGCAGTATACCTACCGCACAGACTTTACTAAGACTGAATGAAAACGGGAGCACCGAGAAGCGTGAACGCGCAGCAGTAGCGTCCATAGATACAGAAGTTAAACCACGTAGGTTTCATGTCAGGGTCAGTACACGGTTGTCCATGGATATTCACCAGAGGATATGGCATTGGCATATGGATGAATATCATCAAGGTGCCGACACATAATTTTATCATCATTTAAGTATAGGAAAATGGCAGCAGTGTGCGCCTTTTGACCAATGACATTCATCTATGTATCTAATCTACCAA